TGTTTTCCCTTTTCTTCTCTCTTGCGGTCCTTAATTTGTTTGTTTTTCCCTAAGCTGTCTATTGATTAATATATTAGTCATTTTTATGGACATTTGTGCCATTAATTGTTATCATCTTTGTTGTTTTCCCCTTTAATTTGAATCCCCTATCTTTGTTGCTTTCCTGATACTGACTGGTATGAGTTAATTAATTAAATAATCCATTGCTTAAGAAAAGCTTCTACCAAGAACAGATGTATCACGTGCAATACAACAGCAATGTCGGATCATTGTAATCATTCAACTCCGAGCTAAAAGATTGCGTTAATTCTGTTTTGCATCCTTCAATTATACCTCAATTTTCACTTTAGTCTCTCGACTAGAAATTGGGACACTTTAGCCTCTAAATTACATATATCATCCCAACTAAAGACAATTATTTAATGGAATTCCCAAAACTAACGAAACACAAGTCAAGTGAGCAGTAACAAGGATTAAACGATAACCCAAAAGAAAATCCTAAGATTAGAGGGAACAAATAAGTTTAGGGACCAAATTGAGAATCGTAGTATAGTTAGGCGATTAAATTGTCCCGATTCGGAATTTAGAGATCAACGTGGGAATCAAAGTATAATTTGGGGACTAAATTGTTCCAATCTAGAATTTAGGGACTAAACTAGAAATCAGATGATAGTTAAAGATAAGGCTCTACAATTAGGAATTTTCTATTGGTTGATTTGGTTAATTGTGTTAGCTTAGATTAAGATCCTTTGTTTACATGTGCCTGGATTGTTTACCTTTGGCCTACGGATTCTTGTTCTCCCTAAAGGAAGTCACTTTTTTCTGTGCTGACTTGACAAGCTACAAAGTTAGATTTTAACAATGTTCAATTGACCCTTGGAAATGAATTCACTCAAAAACTGGTAGGACAATAAGAAAAAGACAAAAATCCCAAAAAAAAAAAATCAATTCTTGCAGCAAATAATTGAGATGAATGAGCAAATTTATGAACACTGAAGTGGCAGCTTGGCAGGGTTCCCTTAATTGCATTTTTCTGATGGATCCTCTGAATTTAACCTATGCATTACGTGTATACCTCGACTATGGTCCGTTTAGTCTGTTTTCTATTTTCTAGAACTCAAACAAAAACATTTCCATTCTATCAAAGCCTCAAGTTTGTTTGGATAGCCATTATTTGGTCAAAAATTATTTGTTTGCAATTTTCAACACACCTTTTTATCTTCTCAATCACCTTTTTATCTCACATACATCACATCACAAAAAATGATACAGTAATTATTCCAAATAATATTTCAGATAATCTCCTGTCCAAAACAAAACTATTGGCGAAATTCAAAAGGACAATATTGTTTAAAATTTCATATAAGGTGCGGATGAAAGAATCCAATGGCCATTGGTTAGATAGTGTTTATTTGAAAAACTACATTAAATCATGAAACTATTTAAATACAAGATACAATAAATGTGAGTGTATACAAAAAAATTGACCTGTTACGAATTATTACTTTTTATTCATATAATACTAGCCTGAATGAGTAGAATTGTGTAAAATTGTACTAGAAAGTTGATAAAATGAGTAGAATTGTGTAAAATTGTACTAGAAAGTTGAATGTGTAGTATTACAATTAAAATTAGAGATATTCAGCAAATGCTGTATTTGGCACTCGAGTTTCCTTAAAATATACCTTGGTGCTGCTTATTAAAGCAACTCTTTCAGCTTTGAAATTTGTGTATAGACCCAAAGTAGAACCAACCGAAAGAAAGTTCAAAACTTGCATGCAACTCCTAATTCAACTTTTATCTATTCAAGACTTTAACAAAACATAGTCTGGCCTTCATCCCCAATATACGGGTTTGTCCAAAAAAAAAAAAATATATTGAGCAACTCAAAACAATATTTGGCGTTAAATTTTATATGGAAGCAATTATTTTTTGACAAAAAAAAATTACTTTTCATCTTCAAAGACGTTTTTCTTTTTCTTCTTCTTAACGCATAAAACAGCTATATCTGTTCCTTCTAGAGAAGTAGTCGGTCTCGTTTCCTCACACAATAATAGATTGAGGAAGAAATTAAGGTACTCAGATGACATCATTGCTTACGTAAAACTGAAACAAATAATTGATAACCTAACAAAAAAGAACAAAACCTCCATATCTGTTCTGCCCATGGATGCATGTGCTGGAAAAGATGACACCGCCACTTCAATTGTGATAGCCCGTGAGTCTCACAATTAAAGAAATATTTGGACTAAAGTCCCCACTGAACCAATTCTTCTTGTTTTTCTTCGAGACTTTCCAGCAAGATGACAATGAAGGTGTGCGGTTGTTTTCATGACCACTTTGTGTTAGACTGAATCTCTTGATGTCCCTTGACTTGGTCGAAATAGTAGAGTTAATGTCATGTCTTCCTACCAATCCGAGTTCGAACCTCTATTGGGACATCTATCCGTTACACAGGATTTGCCTAATACGTCTTACTCCTCCGTTTGATTGGTGGGCTATTGCACAGGACGGGATTTACCCAACGTGCACTCTCGGATAGCAGTTGCGAGTTTTCTTGTAAAAAAAAAAACTGAATCTCTTGATTTCTACATCACAATTTGCTGAAATGTGAACTGAGCAGGCCAGCAATTTTGAGAGATCTTTCACATTTAGTGGCTAGCATTTGCTGAAATGTGAACTGGGCAGGCCAGCAATTCTGACAGATCTTTCACGTTTAGTGGTCAGTATTTGATTCGTTGACAGACCTTTCTATCCACTTTATTGAGCATGTTCCTTTCGTCCCATAATTATTAATAACTTGATAGTATGAGAAAGTAGAATGTGTTTTCAGATAAAAAAAAAAAAAACCAAGAAATAACACAATCAGTTAATGTTGTCTTGATGATAAAATCATGAGAAAAAGTGGACAGGTTTCTAAACTTTTGGTTTGGATTTATGTGTTCATGCGTGCGTTTATGTGTTGGCCAGATATTGGCTTGTGAATTACTCTATGGACACGCCCACAATGAGTTCATGATTCTTTTCATACACTAGGGTTTCCTTTGTTTCACATTGTTTTTTTGATAATATATTCTTGAAAAGTTTCAATCATTTATTTATCTTGAAGTTATATTTACCAATAAAAATGCTACGATAATTTTTGAAAAAAAAAAACCAAAAAAGGATCTGTTCTAATTTTAAGAATAACTACCGTTATATTTCACCTACATTTCTAGGAAAAAAGACTCTCATCGATGGGTGATATTATATTTACGGTACTTTTATTTATCTATTTCTTTGAATTACCACACTTGCAACAAAATAAAAGAGAGATGACTAACTTCAATATTACATGGTGAAATTGTTCCTAGAAAGTGTGCTCATTTAGACAATGAAATTGTACTCTTATTAATTTATTTATTTTGTCTCTTATTGATTGTTTCATGTTTGAATATCCCAATCTTACTCGAAATATCTAGTAGGTCCCAAAACCATTAAGTGAGCTATTATAATTAAACCCAAGAAAAAAGACAAGTTAAACTTGTTTACTAGTATCATTGACCAAAGAACACACAAAGAATTTCTTCCACCGCTTAGTAATTTTTGGGTGCAAAAGCACCATCCACTGTTTAATCATATTCGTAAACACAAAATGAAATTCAACTTCATTGCTTTAACATGTAAACTTTTCTTCTTTGCTAGTTTAGTACAAATTGTTGTCCTCGCAAGCAACTAGTTTTTCGCATTTCCCCAAGGACAGAATTTCTTGATATAGGCATAAGAATCTCATAAACTTATGTTGCATGGAAGAACATTTTGGAACACAAAAAAATGAGAAATTTTAATTGAACTCAGCAGCCAAGAAAATTCACATTACCATTTAGCTAATATACCTCTCCATGGTAAAATAAAGTTTCCTGAGATTCAATTTGATGATTAATTTATATTTGTGGTGTGCTTGTTTAAGAAGCAATAATTATCTGTAGATAAATATTTCTCATAAATCATCTTTTAAAATGCAGATAAATATTTCTCATATTGATTTCAGCTGAATTTCTTCATTAAACACAAAACGTTTAATGACACAGATATGATAAGGCTACAGACAGGATTCCAGAGTTCCCATCTATAATCAGCTTAAAAAGCCCTGATGGGTAACTCTGATTAGAAACACAAATTAATAGGATAGATAAATTTAAATTCATGTTACTCCTGTGGTCTAGATGCTACCTGAACAGTAGACGAAAGGCATAAAACAGCAGCAGAGTTCATAACTCAAACATGTTACTGAGAAGAGTAGAAATAGCAGAGGCAAAGAATGCTGTAATATAACAGAAACCAGTGCATAGACTTCAAGGCTAACGGCTCTGATAAGTTGGAGTCTCATTGCTCACATTATGGAGGAATCTTGCCCCCATGAAAAATATTATGGATGAATTTGGATTTGATAGGAAGCATGAGAATATGTCCAATCTCAAGAACAAACATAAACACAATAATCCTCTGAGTTTAGCCGTCAATCCCTGAATTTTCCAGTCAAACTACAGCATAACTGCACAGACTCAAGCGGCGAATGACTATTGCAAGAGTTATCTGACCTATATATCCTATTCTATCTCTAGTAAAATGATAGAAGCACCTAGTAATCCGAGGATTTCCAAGCCTAGGAATTAAGAGGTGTCAATTATGCCCAAATCCAATTTCTCTAACATGCCTGGTCAGGATTTGAGTAATTTGACCAGGATGGTTGTGAACAATATTGGATTTGGCCATTCAGGCATCTGACAAATAAATTGCATTTGCCTTTGGGTGCAAACAAGTATTAATTGGAATTCCTATTACAGCCTAGTGTGTGTTATCCCTTTCTGTCTTTACATTTTCTGTTCTCTTTTCTTTTCTCCATTCACTGACCAACTGGGCAATGGCCACTGCTGTCAACCTTCCAATAACTTCTAGTGAACTTCCAATGGTCAACCAAACAGAAAATAATCACAGACCAATGTCCAGAGACTGACTCATTGCATGAATGTAGATAGGATTAATTAGGATTCAAATACAGAAAAGCAGATGGACCTCTTTCGAAAAGGGAAAAAAAATGAATGGTGGACCTGAAATATATCCACGTGTTCAAAGTACCACAAATGGGGCTTTATGTTACATCATAGAATTGGGCGGCACCAATTTGGGCCAAACCATATTAGTCCCACCAAGTAATCCCATAGCATAAATGAGTATATTTTCGCAAGAGTCCCTTAATCCCAAATAAATCCCGCTCAATGCTCCCCCACCATCATCAGGCTACATTCAAATAAAAAATCGAATTCTCAACCTTCGTGTCTAGTACCACCAGGAAATTCTAAGAAAGAAGAATTGAGAAAAGTGGAGAGGTAAAACAGACAAATGCATGCAGAAGACTCAAATTTGTTTCTCAAAAGCAAACACAGTAGGTGAAAGATGATCAGCACACAAAAGTATTTGTCATCCAATAATAGTTTCTAGTTATTTCTATTCTCAACTGAAGTTCAAGAGTCTAAAACATAAAACCCAACTCTTTCTTGTTCAGTAAAACTTGAATCTTTGTTTCATGCATTTATATATCATGAAACTGATGGCAATTTATTCTGCCTAGCATATCGTTAAGGATAATAAATATATAAGAGGAGAGCAATAGAATCTACAATTATGATCGTGGGGAAATAATTCATCAACTCTCATATATTAGGCTTAACAGGTTGGAATAGAACAAATGACACGGGGAAGAAACTCACGTACCCACCTCTCAATTTGTAGCAAAGTAAGCATGACTACGGAATGCGATATCTTAGTTCCTGAAAAAGCCAAAATGATTTTTCCTTTTAACTTACGTACCAAAGTGATGTTATTGGTATTCACTGCCCGCCCATGGCGGAAGCAAGACAGCTAAGATGACCCTGCCACACAAGCACATGGAAGAAGACCTCATAGTTCCTCCTTAAACACAAAAGAACAATAATTGCGTTAGATATAGTAATCTGGTCAGTAGTAGACTTTGGCACTGGTTGATTTTCAGCTCATTTATATGTGAATGATGCACCTGAAAAATGAGAAAGCCTTCTCTAAACAAGGCTCATTGTCACCAGTCACAAGAAAGGCACCTGTAATTCAATCCTGGTCCACTGGTGGTAATTGCTTAATTGCATAACATTCAATGACACTAAATAATCAATTAGAGGCCTGCAAAGACATTTACAACTAAAGCAACTAAAATCAGTCATGCGAATTTGAGGAGAAAGTAAAGCAATGTTCAGAAGTAAGAGCATATCAACAAATGCTGGCATTCTCCACCTACAATTAAAAAAGGCACTACACAAATAAATGCGACGGATCATTCATCAGTTCCGCATTATAGGCCTATTCTTTTTTACTGCTACTTCCTCCATGTCCTCTGTTTTTTGTTGGTAGATAGCAACTTGTCTGGTTTCTCAGGTTGCTAATTTAATATGATCATTACACCAAGCCCAAGTCACCAGAAAAAATGCTTTCTGAATTGTGTACAAAAATGCTACCTGAATTGTATAATACTTAACATAATTCAGAAAAATGCTATCCAAACAATCAGGTTGCTAATTTCATATGTTTGGTTTCTCAAAAAGTTAAGGAGTTTAGTAAAACATTAATCCAGCAATTCCTACCAAAATATTCAAGCCAGCGATGATTTTCCAAACTCAGATTGGTGGAACTAAAAAGAAAAGAGAAAGGAAAGAAACGAAAATAGCCAGAGCTGAATAATAAACAAAAAAAGGAAAAAAAAATGGCCACAGCTGTATCAACCACTAACTACTTGTTTCTGCCTTTCACGTTTTATTATTTCAAGCACAAATTCAACGTGGTAATCAAAGATTTGCCAATTAGCTATACAACAAGCCATTATCAGTAGCAGAACTTACATTAAATACTTCAAACATGGTGATTATGATTTCAAGCAGATGTTAGTCAGACTGTGATTTTGCGTACTTACATGAATATATGCATGTATATGCATCAATTGACATAGGGACAACCGTATTCAGAAGACTATCTAATAAATACTTGTTTTTTCCATTTAGTTGGAAGTTCCCATTCCTCACTACAAAGCCGCCTGCTAACAAGGAAGTTCTTCTGGTACTTGACCAAGAGGCCACAACAAAGCTTTTGATTTGCCAAGTCCAAAAGGAAGACACAACTCATTCATGAAGCATTCCAATGACTTCTTGCAACTAAAAGAATAGAGTGAGATTTCCCCCGCCGATTAACACATAACACATCCTTCTTTATTGGTAGCTATAGGCATGGAAGATATTGTGTCAGGTTCTACTGCTTTGGCTATTAACTTGACCAGGGTGAAAATTGTTTGCCAGTCTTAGCCATCAATGGCTAGGAGCATTTGAAAAAAAAAAAAAAAAGAGATACAGAAAGGAACAATGACAGCATTATGCCTCTTGCCTTCTGTGAGTACTTTCATAGCGTGAATTTAATTTCACTAAAACGACACAACCAGAACACAAGGGTTGTTCAACTTCATATGCAGCAAGACAAATTGTGAAGAATAAGCAGATGACTAACCGTATGAAGTGAGTATGTGCCACAGAGACATGAGATTCATACCTGTCATACTGAAAAATCAGAGATTAATTTGAAAGAGAGTAAAGAGGTAATCATATAGTATTTCTTTGCATTAGGAGCAGCAACAGCACTTCCTTAGTCCTTAAGCCTTAATGCCTCATCTTGGATACTCAATTAATGGTATGACTTTCAATTCGCCTGAACTAATCAATACATAATAATAATTCATGTCACATTATGACTTCATCCAATCAAAGACTAAAAGACCGACTAGACAATTCAGGTCCAGTATGTCACAATACATTTTACGAAATTGAGCACTTAGACTTCAATTATGAGTTATTGAAGAAACAAAAACAAAACCTCATTCTTTTCCATAGTTCCTTCAAACTTCAGTCTGCAATTATTGCCAAAACATTAATCCACCACAGGAAGAGACTCTGTAGGAAGGCATAGAAATTCAATATCTTTTAAGCTAAGACTGTGTATGATGAATGTTAAATCGGAAGGTTGCACAAATATATTCTCACCTGCAGAAAGAGCACGCAAGGATGAACAATCACGTGGATGACTCTACATGAAAGATGGAAGAAAACTTCCTTTGTTTCCAACGCTGACGGCAATGCATCTGTTAATTAATGCATGTCTGCATCTGAGAGTATCAACAACTAAACTCATGGTTTCTCTGAAAAGGTCTCATGCATTGATCAATCTTTTGGAGGAATAACAAGTTAAAATGAATTCGCATCCATAATGGCCAGATGAAAATCATGGTAATTGTAATCATTACCACTAGGATAATCAACCAACATTTGGAATAAATATTTTTAGCATCTCTTAAAGACAGAAGAAAAGAAAAACATTTAGTTCCAGTTGCCATAACATGTAGCATAACTCAATTCCTTTTTCCCATCTTTTATCATGGATTTTTTTCCTCTATCATTAAATGACTCCCAGGAAACAAAATGGTTGTAATACATATTCAAGAAGCAATGCTAATTCTTTTTTGTTTTTCTTTTCCTATAGATTTTCTCATATCAAGCACCCCCGAGGAGAGAAAAGAAGTCAAAGAGGAGGAAAAAAACACAAAAACTTAACAGAGAACAAAAGATTTTCATATGTGAGCAAAACAAAAACTACAATGAAGTATATATATCAAACTAGAGGTTATGGAACAAAGCAAGCATTTGCAACTCCTGTGGGCAGCATGCAAATTTCAACTACTTGCAAAATATAGTAGACGCCAGCTTGTTAGCTTTTACAAGAGACCAGTATCACAAAATATTGTCAGAACAAGAAATTTATTTGAACCGCTAGGGATATGTTCAATACTAACCATTGTCATCCTTTGGTTTGCTTCATAACTGCTCTCATCCACTGAAAAATTTGAGACTACCCTAAACAGTAGCATAGACACCTATTCCACTTTGTTATAATGAGGCACACGCTAGCACCGCACATAGACAGGGAGGGAGAGAGATTATAAGAAAATATAATTAGACAAATTTGCAAAAAGTCAAATCAATGTACACCATTATCTTTTGGGTGTGACGAATCAGGAGCGATAATGAAAGAATCTATTGATGACAGATATTTCTGCTCTACCAATTTATAGACTTTTAAAACTAACTAATTAAAATCCCTAAGTCTTTTCTTTAGCACATCCATTGACTTTTTTCGAGCACTCTGCTTCGAAGATCTATTTGAGAGGCTTCCAAAGAGTCCATCAGCTGAATCCTTATACTTGTCGCAGATAATAGCAACCTTTTTATAGTCCAAAGCATTATAATTTTTCTCCCTTATGACAGGGTTCATGAAGTTCTCAGGCTGACTGCTTAAGAGAAGATTTATTAACTGTCGGGCTTCTACCAAGCAACTTCGGAAACTACCTTCTTTGTATATTTCAGATAAACCAGTACTATGAAACCTCTCATCTGCAAAAGATTCCAACGTCTTCAGATCATTATTGATGACCATAACTGCATTAACGTTGAACCTCTTCACACTGTCACTAAGAAAGGCTGCCATGATAGAATTAGAAATATGTTCCAGAGCACCACTCCCTATCTTGTACAAAGCATCTAGAGGTAAAATTTGCTGAGCAGTGGACATCACAGTGTCAAGGTATATAACCACCTCATGCATGTACTCACTGCCTTGTTGTGGTGCTTCTTCCACTGTCCAGTTCACATTCTCCGTGAGTGCCATATACTCATCTAACTTGGCATTTATTAAACTAAGTAGAGCAAGATAAGCAGCATCTCTCGAAGTTTTCAGAACAATCTTGGCAGTTAAACTACCTTGAGGCCTTTCAACAGATCGGACAGGAATCCCACATTGTTGGGCTGCATGTTGAAGAAAATAATCACAAGCTCTTTCCAGCACAGCTATGTTTGCAGCAATCTGCATTGCTTGAGAAACACCAGTGGAGCCACTCTGAATCGTGTTAAGTATAACCTCATTTAAAATATCAATCAAGAGCTTATCCAGGTATTCTTTAACAAAATCAAAGAAGTTCATTTGGCACCCATAAGACAAGAAATTGACAGAGTCCTTGATAAAAGTTCTGACAATACGACAACATTCAGGTACCATAGAAGAAAATGGAGCAATGTAGGGAAAAGCTGGCATTATATCCGAGGTCTGAAGATGGAACAGTAAAACATTTGTCTGGTAGTCTGACTCCTTTTTCATTACCATCTGGTCATATCTATCATTGATCAGAACATCAGTAATCTGTTGCCTGCACTCTGCTAAAAGAAGCTCATGGTACTTACTGCGACTACTGTTAAGGGTCTCAAGGATGGGGCCAACATCATAGCCATATTGTCTAAGGGTTGCACCCAGAAGAGTCACATAATCCTTGACTAAGAGAAGGTGGCTTGCAATATCCATGTGAGAAAATTGTTCCTCCAAGACAGAAGCCACTTTAGACACAGCTGTTTCCCACATTGTATCAAGCTGATTAGGTAACAGCAGGCCACCTGCCGTCCTCAATACCCGATCCTCAACGATAAAATAACCTGCAATTTGAGCCAGAAAGGTCTGATGTGATTCAAGAAACGGCTGTGCTGAGGATATCTGCAGGTCAGAACTCAGCTGTAATAACCGGTTTTTATAGTAATACTCACGAAACTGCTCTTCTATTCCAAGACAATTGTGAATGTGATATGCCCGATAAACAGGAGTAAGATCAAACTTCAACACAGAATCCTCATTGATTTCTTCAACATCTAAGGTATAGGTAAAATCGCCCAGTCCCAAACAACTCTGCTCCTCAGCTTTCCTTTGACGAGATAGCATATCTTCATCCCTCTGACGCGCTGATGCAGCATGTCCAATTGCAGTTTGACCAATATCCTTTGCGCTACTCCTTATAAGAACTAGCCATTCATTAACTTGAGTGCACACCTTCTTCTCAATATGGGATTTAATAAGTGGAATCCTCTCCTCTATCAGTGCTTTCAGTGCCTTCACAGGAACATGCTGCAAAAAGTTCTTCTCAATCAGATCAACCGCTTTCAAAGCAGGGTAAAACCGAGCTTCAGAAATGTGCTCATTACACTTTACACAAAGCTCCAAAACTTGAACGCAAATTTTAGACATCTTAATAGCTTCAGTAACATTTTTCTTAATTGAATAAGATTCAAGAAGCTCTTCAACTTTCAAAAGTAGGGCACTCCCAACCTCTTGTAACCTGAAGTTGTCACTAGCAAGCTCACTTTTCAACTCCTCAGCGTCAACTAATACACCACGGAGTTCATCCACTGCGCTAATGAACTCCTCATAATGAAGCTTGCAGAGCTCCTCGATTTCAACTTCCTTCTTCTTCACAGCAAGCTTTAGCTGATTCAAAAGGGCTTCAGGCTTCCCCGTCTCAAACGAAAGCCTAACCATTGGACCCAAATCCTCCCCATTACCAATCATGGTAGCAAGAACACTATCTTCGTTTGCCATGTCCCCATTCTCGGTTACAGTCCTCCTCTTTGTTTTAGCACTCATATTCCTTGTCAACAACTTAAAAATACACCAAACCAAGAAAACCAATTAGCAAACCAACACCAAAGCAACACACTATTCCTTTCTATTGATCCTACCATACATCCATAAACTAAATCACACAAGAATTAAAGAGAAAAATCAGCTAATCTCAAATGGGCATTCCTTCTATGATTCAAAAATGAAAATGGTCAAAGCCCAGTTCGCAGAAATGCCCAAAAAGATCAAATTTTTAAGGTCACATTATACACTATTTACAGATCCTAAATCTTTTCGGATAATAACAGAGTATTAACTGACATTGGTTTTCATTGGTTAATAGGAAATTTGCCACAAAATATAAAAGTACTAATCACATCACAGATTAAAGAAATAAAAACAGTACCCAAATGGTTCGCAAACAAAACTAAGAATAAGATATTACTTACCTAACACTTAAGGAAACCGTTCAACTCTGGTGATGTTTTGAAGAGAAGAAATGTTGTTGGAATTGCAAGTTTCTTCCCCCAACAGAAAAAGGGTTGCCAAAATTTTGCCTTGTTTGAATTTGGATGCTGTCAAGGTCTGTGCCCTTTGGCTTCTCTATTTTGGGCTTTTGATGAAATCCACGATAGGCTCGAGAATTTTTATGCATTAGTTCTGGGTGTTTTTTGGTTCTACTAACTTCTAATAATAGTATAGTAAAAGTGGCAGACGGCAAAAGGGAAAACATTCTTAGGGAAAAAAAAAATGAAAACCCACTTATCAAATTGTTAAATAACGATCAAGACTTGATAAGCTGTACTATTAGGTGAAGAAACCCACAAAAAACGCAGGTGTTTCGGGACAAACTTTTTATAATCTAACAAATCCAACAGATTCCCAATTTAAAAAACGAAAATACATAATTATCCCTAGGACAATTTGTGAAAGCAAAAAACTTAGGTTAATCGCACTTTAGCCTCTTTAGGTATGGGGTATTTCTCACTTTACCCCACAATATTTGTTTTTCCTCAGTTTATCCCTTCTGTCAATTCAACTAAGCAAATTCACCGTTAGAAATTTGAACATGCCGAAATTGCCACTTGGAATTGCCGTTTGCTTTGGATGAGTAAGAAGATGCCCCTCGATTAGTTATAAAAGAGGGACTAATTGATTAGACTATTGTTAGATGACAAAAAAGTCGGTCAAATATAGTGGGTTGGCTGCTTGATCTCAATGTATGCCCATCGTGCCATCTTGGCACGACGGGCAATTTTTTTTAAAAAGCTTTCTAACCTCTCTGACCGTCGCTCCTATATGGCGTGACGACCAAAGAAGTCAGAAATGTTTTTTTTTTTAAATCCTCCTGGCAGTCACGCCATGTAGAAGCGACGGCCAGAGAGGTCAGAATTCCTTTTTTTAAAAAAAATCCTCCTGGCCGTGCCGCCATGTGGGAGCGACAGTCAAAGAGGTCAGAAATTTTTTCTTTTAAAAATCTTTCGAACCGTCGCGCCATGTAGGACCGACAGCCAGAGAATTTAGAATTTTTTTCAAAAAAAATCCTTCGACCGTCACGCCATGGCCAGGCGATTTCGAAATGCTTTTTTTTTTAATCTCTATACAATTCAGCAAAAAATTTTCTGTAAAAATTATTTAAAATCAAACTTTTTAAAAACAATGCAGACAGTTCAACAAAATTTTGAAAACAAACACTAGCCTCGCTAGCATTTTAGCATTTTAAAGGATGCAAGGTTTTAAAACTTTGATCCATTTGTTAAAGGATTTAGGAGTTTCTTAAAGAATTAAGGTTTACCATTTTAGCAAACTTAAGTTATATAACATGCTTAATTGTTATGATTTGTTAAATTTAGAAAATAGTTTAATATTATGATTTAAGTTGAAGTGATTGCGTAATGGATGGAAGTATTGCTTAATATTATTATGATTTGTTAATTTTAACTTTATTATCTATAATGCACACAGAATGTTAAAGGAACTGTAAATGTGTCAAAAAATGAAAAATTATAACACGAAAAGCGATTTATATATTTAAATTTTCATATAAAATGCAATCACATAAAAAGATTAATAACATATTTGTAGAAATGAAGAATTGTTTGTGTGTCATTTTTTGGTATACGATAATTAGTTTAAATAATTTAATCAATTAAAATAGTTATAAAACAACTAGTACTTATTTGTTTTGTAGGTATTATCCTATAGGGACCATTCTATCCAATTATGGGGTTTAATAAAATAACTTGTACTTCTCTATTTTGAAAATGTTTAACGTTATTCAAATTGAAAGTGATTGGATTAAACAGAAAAAGTAGACAACTAAATTAAATTAAATGTCATGTGAAATGCATTAAATGGATGAGATATAATACATTGTCGAAGATAAAATAATATCAATGCCTCACAGTTTTCTTGCCTTTACCCTTAGCCTTGCCCTTACCCTCCTCCTGAGGTGTCGTCGGGGAACAACAATATCTAGTAGCAGGCCTTCTCTGACGATTACGTAGCACTCGTTCTCCGATAACTAGCGCAAGAACTTGTGGAACAGCAGTAGATGGGCCATAATCATCATCTGCCTTATCAGAAACAAGGGTATGCTCGCCTGTTGACTCAGCTGTCTCATCACTATCATCAGTGTCTTTGGAACGATAGTCGTGAAAATTTTCTGGAACAACATGTCCTAACATGCCTTTTGGTTGGGTTTGAGTAGGCATGAACATAGTCTGACCAAGAGTACAATAATCCGGAAGATCTACAGTAGCAGAACCACCTCTCGTGGCACCAATCAAATCATATATTTGGCTAAGGTCTGCACGTAAGGAACCCCCTGATGTAGTGGCATCGTACCCAAATACAGGTATATGCGGCGAACGCGTGAATGGTGAACCAAACGCAGGTACGTGTGGGGAAGGAGTGAATTGTGTACCATAAACAGGAAAGTGTGGCAATTGTGTAAACTGTGGCAAAGTCGAAACCAGTGTATGTAGTGATGTAGAAAAATGTGTATCGGTCGGCCTAGTGCAATTTTGAGGGTCCACTTCAGGGTCACGATGCTCTGTTTCGTTGTCATCTTCATCATGCAAGTCATGCCTATGTCGTTTAACTCCGCTGGTAGATGCTCGAGTTTGACGAGGGACATGTCCAACTGGCCTCTCAGAAGGAACATGCTGAGACTGTGTTTGGGTCTTAAATGGGTTCCAATCACCAACTTTCACACGATCATATTGTTGAGGGTGCTGCATAGACCCAAATGCACCATCCACGATCGTCAAAAGACGCGAGTGAAAAACATGTCCTGAGTCATCAAGATTGAGGGCATTATGCGACTGATGTCCAATGCGCTGCATGGTATCCATTTGATATAAAGAAAATAGACAAATATAGTATACAAGATTGACTAGGAAATGCTAGCAAAAAGCACACATATTGACGGAGTGAAAATTGTAGAGGTAGTAATTACCAGATATTCAAGTTGTCCTGATACCCCATAGAGCATGTGCCCGGACTGCGTCTACTGATAGATAGGAAACGTAATGTACAAAATGGTGTGATGGTGGTACCATCTGAGATACTCTTCTGAATGTCTGAATGTCTTTGTAGGCTGTCCCTGGACCTCAACTTCGTAGCGTCGATCCCAATAACCTATCCAATTCCTATGACACTGAACCCAATTCCTTTCTGGAAATCCAGCTAGACCAAGTTGGTGCAAACCCTTCTGATCAGTGTCAATTTCTTTAGGAATTTCTTGTACCATGCCGAACTGACGCATCACTCAATCTGGACAATGAAACTCAACTATGTGCCAAAATATCAAAGGGACATTTGCTCGCCATATACGCTCTCCCCGTCTGCAATACTCGGGTAGAGATGATAGTATGTCACCACTATATGGCATCTAGATGAACTGATAAAACAGGAAAAATAGATACTCAATCCTTATTGCCTTGAATAGAAATTCAACGAAATGCAAATAATAATTATCCAAAAAATAATAACATACCTGATCCATTCTTACCAACCCCATCTGTTCTCGATAATACACCGAAGGCCGACCGAGAGGCTCATAATCTAAACAATCATCTGCCCATCTCTCTTCTCTTAGGTAATCTCCAACCTCATATCGAGAATGTATATCAGGACGAATAAGTGGGATTCGCTCCCATGCCCAAAGCTGTTCAATACCAAGGTAATTTTCATTGAATAAGATGTGAATAAGATGTGTATTTAACTAAAAATAATTTATGAGATATATTTTTATTTACCTGTAGTAATAAATAAGGCCCACTAGTACTCTTAGTTTCTGCTCGAGAAGCAATACACATCTGCGAGTATAAACAGGCCAACACCGCGCTTCCCCAACTGTATTCGCCCATCGCCTCCAAATCTTGTACATAATCGAGCCAATTTGAACTAACAACATTGCATGCGGTATTTGTAAATAGTAGGCCTTCCAATAGAATCAGTATGTACATTCGAGCATATCTCCTCAGAAGCATTGGGCTCCAATGTTGTCCGTAATCGTGCCTTTAGGAATGACATCTTTAGTCGCCCATCTCGAAAGTGCCTATTCTCTGGCCAAACTCCTAAAAGATCGTAAACCATTTGTTGGCGTTGTAAGGGACTCCGTCTAATATGATTCAAGGTAACAGGAAAGCCATCAACACGCAGGCCCCACAACACCTCCACATCCTGCAAGGTGATGGTAGCCTCGCCCATAATAGGGAGATGAAATGTGTGTCTCTTGTCTCCAACGCTCGACAAGTGCAGTGATCAATCCATGATCCACATGAACGTAACCGGCTCTACGTACCCCACCAAATCCAACCCTGTCGATGTAATCAGATACTCGAGGGTCTATATGCATAAAGGATTTAAAAAATTCTTTGTCACGTCTTCTGATATCTAGGTCACAAGATTTGCCATGAAATACGGCAGCGAAACTGTGGTGTGGCTGTAAATATAATACAGAAGGATCAATCAGCCCTTGAGTTGGGGGTTCTACAGCATTCCAATGATCCATGAACAGTTATGCCTGCAACTAAATTATTATTAGTCGAATTGGGTATGCATTATAAAAAATATATGCCAAAATAAATGCCACTAAAAAGCAATAGGAGGAAAATCTCATATATAGCATAACAGAAGAATAATATTCATAACACCTCAACAAAAATATGCATATCACACTATATTAACATATTAAAATCGTACACCAATTGAAGAATACATTTCACTAATATATTCAAATCGTACACAAATATGGGAAGTTTATTTGACGCTACATTAATCCTAACATTCTATTGATGAAAGTAACCAGAATATGGGCAGTTAGGAACAGTGTGTTCGGGTTGCAAACAGTTACCACACCGACTGGAGCATCCGGACACCTTCGATCCATCTCATTTCGGATTCTAGCCGTCCTTAAAGAGCCCGGAGTTTTTTGTTTCAAACGATCACCTAGGATATGCAATCGTAAATCTGCTGTCGGCTAATATTTTATGTCCCTAAGCAGATAAAAATGGCCAGAAAATGTAGTTTGGTATACGAAAAATGTATATTCCGGTGCTACAAGAGTCATCGGATTTATTTTGGACTAAAGCAAGTTGCGAACACATGTGAACACGGAAATCGTAATTCCCTCTATTTTTCACACGTGCACGTTTGATTTGTAAGGTCAACAG